TTGGTTAACATCAGGAACAGAGCCAACCCTAACTTATTCTTTGATTTTATTATTTGATTCAAGTGAAAGATTTTCTCAAGTTGTATCAGAGATGCTATGCTATGTTAGCTGACATTTCTATTTATAGATATTACACTTAATCCTTTGTGGAGACGGGTTTATTGGTAGACGGACAGGTAGCGCCCTGATCTGAACTGATTGGCAAAACCTGCTCATCCCAGACTTATGCTCATTCATACTATACTGAAAATTTGTTGTAACTAATCAAACTGTTTGGTCAGACTATTCAATTATCGATTATTTTAATAAAAGTGTTAAAAGAAAAATCAAAATGGTTTGGCTGGCAAGTTAGGACTCATGAACATAATAAAACGCAATAGTAGGTTACTAAAAAGACTCACCTAAAGGATACATGCATTTTATTTCTCTTGGAACGTGGTTATCGAACTCATTTCTGTGTATTTTAAAGTACATTTAACCGAAAACTTAACTTGTATATCGGGATTAGTCTCATGTGAGGTTTCCTTTCAAGGGATATGTTAGACACCTGATATTCTATTGAGAAATAGTCAGGTGTCTAGCTCTTCCCTTTCGCAACGAGAACCAAAAAGAACAAAAAGAAGAATAGTAATGATATGTGTGAGTCCGGCGCACTCTTACCTTATGCATGTAATCGCGTCCTAGGCTAAAACATAATTTAAAAATCTTAAAAACTTAATGGTGATATGATGAAATATTCATTGACTAAGTAAGGTCGTGGAGAACCAGAAAAAAATTGGTTTGAGGTCATAACGCGTGGAGCAAGCGCAGCAAAGAAAATAGTCAGAACAAGAAAACTCAGTTAAGTCAAAGTTCTCGATTAGAACTCACGTTCTTGGAAAACGAAACAGAGCTGAGTGAGTGCTGGGCCAGACGGAATTTTCCGAACTGGCTCGGGTCAACTCCCTCCAGCCCTACACAGTTCAGCTTTCGTGAGCGGGGACGTACGGGTCATGTTTCATTTGAATTTACGCACTGTCTACTCCCACGTTAAACTTAATCATTGTTTATGTGTATTTGCGGTTTTATCTCATTGTTCAAGTCGGTTGCAATTTCCATTGTCTTTCATAGAGACCTGAAAAACAATCTTCTAGAAGAGCTACCATCTGACTTGTTTTCCAACCTCAGCAATCTCCAGGAATTGTATGTTTAGCTTTTGTTAAGATTTTATTCAATGTTATTAACGTTTTTGTTTTGTTATTGGAAGAATGGACAATATGATGTACCTGTGATACATAAAATCCTGGGATACACTACCTCCATCATTATGGAAAAACCTGTTGTCGGTTACCATCTTGGACAGTTTGGAGAGTAATTAGATCTCGTTAATTCAAGAATTTGTCAACATTCAAGTATACTTTGTTCTGATATGTCGCGTACCCCAGTGCAGTGGACGCGGGGCGTGGTGCACTGGAGTTCGGGAAGTGTCAACCACAGTGCAAAAATAGACAACACAAGTTGATTCAACAGCATTTAATCTGATCATCGACTCGTTTGAATATTGTACACGTGCGGTGAAAACCAAAGGGGACAAATTACAAGAAACAAGATAAGAAAAAGCGCTAAGATTAATTACAAAAGAAAAGGAATCCAAAGGAAAACGAAACAGAATACAGTAGACTACAACTTACATCTGTTCCTGTCTTAAAGGCGTAAAGCAACTCCGGCGTTGCATAACTCGAACAGACAAAACTTCAGTAAAACACTTCGATGTGACTCCTTCGATCTCCTAATTCCAAATCCGAAATAATGAGGAGGGGGGGTTGAGGCGTTCTCCACAAAACCAGTTCAAACAGGAACGGCTAGCTGCGTAACAGATTCAAACTGTAAAACAATACCATACGAAAAACTTGAAGGTAAACTCGATCATGAAACAAAACAGAACTCCTGCTACTTTAAAGAAGAACGAAGGTAATTGCATGATTAAATTCCCTTTTTTTCAATGTTCATTACAATTCTCGCCTAAGGATTCTTAGCCTTGCCACTAAATCATTTAAGTGCTTACTGTCGGTGTTCATCGGCTTTGTCGCTCCTTGATCGGACGTGATTAGGTCTTCCTTTCTCCATCTTGAGCCACATCTACATTAACTTTTCCTACTCTGCCGTCGTCACTCCTCATGACCTCCAGCACTCGTCCCAGGGGCCAATCGTTACGGTGTCGTGATTTGTCTTGCATGAGAACGACGTTTCCCTCGCACAGGTGACGCCGCGTCTTCATCCACTTTGTCGCGGCTGTAGGCTCTGTAAGTATTCTCTCCTCCACCTCGTCCAAAACTGTTCTGTAGAGAGAGGTGGACTCGTCTCCAGCGACGGTGCGCGTATATGTTCGTATGCACGAACTTTCCTGAGGGAGGTCCTGCAGGGCATGCCTTCATAGTGAGTAACATCGCACGGGACAGAGGCTGTGGGTGGTCTGGGTTGGACATAAGCGCCGCTATCGGTCTAGCATTCACAATCGCTACAACTTAGGCCATCAATGTCGTTAGAAATTCATGTGTAGCCTGACTTTTGCCCAGCTCGGTGAACATAGCATCTAATATGCGGCGAATTGTGTTGATCTGCCTCTCCCAACAAATGTGATGCACAGAGAGGATTGAACTCCCACTTGCAGCCACACTCCGTCACAACTTCTCTACTCTCTTCTCGTCTGACTTGGATGCCGCTGCTTGAAGCTCCGTCTTAGCTCGACGAAATTAGTGCCTCGATCATATCTGAGAAATATGGAGGGGCCGCGTAGCGTAAAGAGCCTCCTCATCGCGCAGATAAAGGCGCTGGAATCCATGACTTCAAAGACTTCGATTTGAATGGCTTTACGGTTGAGGCACGTGAACACTGAGCCGCAGCGTTTAGCGTTCGCTGCTCCCTGTCTAGTTTTACGTGTTTGCACCGACCAGAGGCCAAAGACACGTTAATAAAGCGGGGATAGACTTCGGTCCTATCTGGCGGAAGGTCGTTCATGTGCTGTTCTAGGGGTGGTCACCTCAGCCTCTTACAGAGAACGCAGGCTCCAATGACCCTCGTTATTATGTCGTGACCTCCATGAGCCAGAACCCTGCTTGCCTAATGGCGCCTCCTGTGATCTTTCTCCCTTGATGGTGTACTTCGTGATGATATTGTTTAGCCACTAGCTGTGAGATATGGTGATACATCGGTAGTACGATTGGATGTTTCTCTCCTTACTCCATCTCGGCTCTTTTTAATCTGCCTCCGACGCAAAGGACTCCGTGGCTGTCTAGAAACAGATCGAGGTGGAACAGTTACGAACCTTTGAGCGCTCTCTTGGTACTACTCTCGGTAACTCGGGCTCTTCTCTGGCGTCCCTCATTAACTCACAAAAGGCTGCTCTTTTTGTGTTTCATATCATGGTCTGTACGGCTTGCTTCATTCCTGGACCGTCGAGGGTCTGAGTTTACCTGGTACACTAGGCGTTTGGCTCCTGAGGATAGCTCTCTTGGCTCTGGCTTCTTTCCGGCGTTTGAATTCTGTAACTGAACGATTTAAGTTGGCGACGGCTCGCTGCAGAGACTTTGCATTCAAAGATTCAAGACAGAAACACTTGATACAGTGGTGAATTAGATTTCCTAATTTGTAGATTAAAAACAGGGGAACGATCATTTGCTTTTCGGAGTGCAAAGCTGTATAATAACCTTCCAAACGAGATTAAGAAAACCTCTGACGTAAAAAAGTTTAATGCTAAAGTCTATAATTTTTTTTAAATCTGTAATTTTTAATTTTAGCATATTATGATATATTCATGTAATTAGTTGTTAGTGTTGACGGTGGAAGAGCCCTAGACAGGGAGCTGTTCAAATAAAGTATGTATGTATGTATGTATGTTTCGTGAAGAGGAATTCTGGAATCTTTCAGCTCCAAGGTATAGTTCCTTATTTTTTTCGTATTTACTCCGGTGCTGAACGCTCCTTTGTGGACTTCAGAATCGTTTGCACTGAGTGCGAATGTTTCATTGAATGGAAGAGTTCTTTCCGGTTTATAAAGACACTCTGGGCCTACGAGCCAGCTCGTCTGCATTAGCTTGCTTGCGGGAACTCCGCGGGTGGCTGGGTACGCTGCGTTCTTTTTAGTCTCCATGTATCTCCATTGTTCAGGGGTACACATACTCTTAATCAGCTGAACTGGATTGGCGACGTACACCAAAAATCGACGAATTGCATTTGTAATGTAGCCCAGTACTGCCTTTGAGTCGGTGTAGTAGGTCACTTAGGAAATATCCAGATCGATTTCTGAAATAACTTTCTGGGCTGCTTGAGGTCTTAGCGCCCCTCCGCACAGCTTCAGACGCGGCATCTTTGTTGGATTCAGTGGAGCAACTCTGGCTTGGCCGTAAACGAGAGCCGTGGACACACCGATTGCTTCGTTGAACTGACGGAAGTAGAACTACGGCTCCTATAAAGGCGTGTAGTTCAGCTCTAGTCACGCTACCGGAGTCTTTTGGGTGGCAGCAGCGTGGCGCAGACAGACTCTGTAACTATGCGAGTCTCTTCAATGCAGCCACCGGGTCATCATTATAGTGGAGAGAGGATCGACCCAGGCAAGGGGTTACTGTTCTCCTTTGTGCACTCTCCCATAAGTACAAGTTGCCACAGTATTTTTCTCCCTTCGAGGATATCAGGCACTGCAAAACCAAGCGAGTCGGCCACAAAGTTGACAATGGACAAGAATCCTCTCCTCATGCACGGCTTCTCTGGTAGAGATATCTTAAATGTAAAGACGTCAGTCTCCAGGTGCCGGAAAACTCCAAGCGAACGTAGAGCTGGTAAACGGTCGTGACGTAAGTCAAGGTCACGCTCATCTTTTGCTTGGTCTTCCGCGGGGAGGGCCTGTAGTATACTAGGACAGCGGTTGCATATGTAAAAGAATACATTCGGGGATGTGTGTGCGCGGGAAGATTATTAAAGAAACGTGTACTGTATGTACTGTAGTTGTTCGCCTCTCAGGTCGCGATGGCGACAATGGAAACGATCGTATCAGTATTACATCGATGGCAAGGGAATCACGAATCCTTCTTGGAAACAGTTCCGTTACTTCATTTAGCAGGTATGGAAGTGCAAGATATTTACGAATATCTCCCAGATCCTAGACCACTGAATACTGACGAGGATAACGAGTATGTGCTGTGTGTGCAAAAGTTGGATGCACATTTTCGAGGCGAGGACAATGTACCGTACGAGAGTCATGTATTTCGTCAACTTACGCCGACAAAGGGAGAGACCGCCGATATGTTTATGGCTCGTTTACGTAAACAAGCTCGTCATTGTAATTTTGGTCCAACTTTGGAGGAAAATTTGCGGGATGAATTGATTGAAAAGTTGCCTTATGTTGAGCTAAAGAAGAAGCTATTGGAAGTCGTTAATATTACTCTGGAGGCAGCAGTGGATAAAGTTCAAAAGTGGGAAGCCTCACGCGAGCAGGCAAGTCAAATGGTCATGCCAAGCCAAGAACCTGGAGCAGGTACTCATGCAGTTAAAGAACGTCCTGGGCGTGGAGACAAAGGGAAAAGCAGCTGTTTCAACTGTGGAAAAGAAGGTCATTTTTCCGAAAGTAAAAACTGTCCACACCGAGGTCGCAAGTGTAGCAAGTGTCGTAAATATGGTCACTATGCAAGCTGTTGCAAAGGCGGAAGGAACTTGAAGCCTGGAAAAGAAGGTAACACCCAACAACGGGGAGGCAGGCAGCAGCGTCATGGTAAGGGGAAACAGGCCAATCATGTTGAGGGTCATTGTAACGAGTCAGGTGAGGATGACAGTTTTGCTTTTACTATAGAAGAACAGTCATGCACTATGTCAAGTTCCGCTGAGCCCGTTATCTCAGTGAAGATTGGTGGAATCAACAGAGATGTGCTGATTGATTCAGGTTCTGCAAGTAACCTCATCAGTAAAGATACACTGCAGGAACTTAAGTATCAGGGGCTCAAGACTGTATGAAGAGGTTGTGTACGTATGGGGATCGAGAGCTTAAAATTAAGGGCAAGTTTCAGACGGAAGTTTCCGTTCCATTGTTTGCCCTTTTCCGACTGACGAAGATACCTGCTACAATGAAATATATGAAGTTCATATATTTTGAACTGCGGTATTAGATACATATGATGCACGATCCTCGCAGTAGATAGCGCTATTTAAGCAATAGCAAAAATCAGACCTGGAAAAAAATAGGCCTGTACGGGATTCGACCCACTGACCTCTGCGATACTAGTGCAGCGCTCTACCAATTGAGCTAACAAGCCAACTGGGAGCAGGCCGCTAAGTTGATTCATAATAAACTCGTGAAAGTGATAAATCAGATACAATGAAATATATGAAGTTTATATATTTTGAACTGCGGTATTAGATACGTATCGCAGAGGTCAGTGGTTCGAATCCCGTACAGGCCTGATTTTTTTCAGGTCTGATTTTCGCTATTGCTTAAATAGCGCTATCTACTGCGAGGATCGTGCATCA